GCAATATATGCCAAAACTGTCGCAGTTATCACTTCTCAATTTGAAGAAGCAGTGGTTGTACACCAACACCCTCCATACGTTCACACGCATGCCGTATACATGGCACTCGGCTGCGAACCTTTCTAGAGAGCGCTGTGGATAAATTTTACAAGATGCCAATAAAACAAATTGGTTTGCAAACATCCACCTTCTACTCTCGACATATACTCTGATACACTCATCGCCCTGGCTCCGCCTGACTGTTCTGTCCGTGTACAACACAAACAGGAGAGGGAACAGAACGCATCCTTGGCGGAGACCATTGCCAACGCTGATGAATTTCGACTTAACGTCATTTACTCTGACGCAGCACCTGCTATCAGCACTTAGTGATTGGATAGCCCATAGCAACTAGCCATTTGCAGGCATGCCCATAGATTCACAAGCTTGCTGTAGGTCAACGAAGCACTGTAAATCGCATTAACGAACTCCCGCGATTTCTCAGCAGTCTGGCGTAGGCCGAATATCTGGTATGATGTGATTCGGTCGACCAGAAGCCATGCTGCTCTTCTTGCATTCTGGAGTCAGTTATTCCGCGGCACCTCGTTTCTACCATTTTTCAGCAGGCATTATCCGACTTGTTCAGCATGGAATGCCCCTATAAGCGGAGCAACCCCGATACTCTCCCTTCTTGAACAGGTGTATAGTACAACCCCCGTTCTGCTATCCGCTGGTGTCTTCCCCGTAGCCGTTGCACTTAGACAGACATGTGTAAGCCATCTCGTGTCTTGTTCGCCTGTTGTTTGAAGCATTTCGGGGCAGATTTCATCGATTCCAGCAGTCTTTTTACTTTTTAAACTTCTCACAGCTTGTGCGATTTCATCTACACAGATGCAAATATCGGTTCCCTGCTGCTGTTCAGGCGAGGTTTCTGGCAGTTGTTCGAGGTTAAGGAGTTTCTGAAAGTACTGTCTTCATCGCCGAAGAATCGCATCTTCCTCGGTAAGAGACCGTCCAGCCTTGCCCTGCAGGATTCTTAAGCTACCCTTCTTTTTACCGAAATCAATACTTTTTTGCCGTCTCGAAATTCCATTTCAGAACCTCACCGAACCTATTACATGAATCAGCTTTTACTTCCGCATTGCGCGCTTCTTCCTACCGCTTGCAAATTGAAGGATCCCTCCTTCCAATCATTCCTTACATAAAGCCTTCTCAGTGACAGCCAGTTGTACCTCTCTTGTCCCTCAGTAAGTTTTTTCTGATATCTAGGCGTCAGGCCAACCCGTTTGAGTCACCATTCGGCAGCAGCCCTAACTACACCGCTCTTAAAGAACTCCCGTTCGGTTTCCACATGAACGGTCATCATCGGAATCTGTTCAACTGTTATACGATGTTGCTTGCAAATTTCGCTCCCGTGTCCACCGAGGGTAATATTTCCCATTCGATTCTTTGGTTGTTTCTGCCACCAGATCTTCGTATGGTACTCCATTTCTTACAGCGTAGCATGTCAACAACAAGGAGATGATCAGCTGACAGCTCTGCGCCTCTCTTAACACGAACATCCATTACTGAGCGTCTTAGGTCAGAGGATACGATTATCAAATCGATCATCGACTTCT